ATTTTAAAAAAGTGCTGGGCTGGGGTTGTGGCTCAGTGGTAGAGCACTTGCCTAGCATGCGTGAGGCACTGGATTCGATTCTCAGCACCACATATAAAAAAAATAGATAAATAAAGGTCCATCAATAACAAATAAAATTATTTAAAAAAATAAATAAATGTGCTAATGGTGAGGCAAGTTTATTCACATTTATTTTATCTTTGTGTGTTAACATAGTAGAGTTTGAGATTATCCCCCAAATAAGAGATTAGACTTCAAAGTTTTATGCCCTTGCTTGTGGTATATCTAAAGTACAAATGTTAGTAATCAGTTTATAGTACTGTCATCAGTGAAATCACTCCTATGATGTAGTTGTTAATAGACTCTTATTTCAAATGAGTCAAGTTCCTTTTATCCTGACATAGCACAGGATAAAATCTTTTGGCAGAAAAGCTTTGTCATTTCTAATTGACCAAGATTACATTATAGTGGTTTATATTTGTTGATACGATACTTGTGTTCATGTTAGATTTAATTTACAATCATAGAATCCACTCTTTTTCAACTTTTTAAAATTTTTTAGTTGTAGATGGACACAATGCTTTATTATATTTATTATGTGGTGCTGGGGATTGAACCCAGGGCCTCACACATACTAGGCAAGTGCTCTGCCACTGAGCTACAATCCCAGCCTCAAAATCCAGTCTTTTTGATGATTTGGAGAGTTTATAATCGAGTAGTTTCAAAGACATTGAGCCAACATGATTTGTCCTAATGGGTTCTGATGATTGTCTCTCCAGGTGAGGCATGGGGATGGGGAGGAGAGGTTTTTCTAGGATGTTGTTAAACAGGAAGACAGCTTATAGCAAATATTTGTTCCTTTTGGTTTTCAGTGCTGTGGTAGAGCTTATTTCTTTTTTTTTTTTAGCAGGCAGATAGAAGTTCCTGTCACTTTCTCTTCCTTTATGGAGTAGGATGTGATGTTCCTGTTAGTGGAAATACCACTCAAATGTCCATGGATCATGAAGAATTGCTCCGTACCTATACTCCTGGAGCATCTCTGCGGAAGGGAAAAGGAAACTCTTCTATGGTAAGCAGCCTTTTGGGGGATAATTTTCCTGTCTGATCATTTGTGCTCTTATTTATTTATTTTTTTCCTGGAGGAACTTTGTTAAATGTCAGCCAGGTAATTTAGCATGGTAATTAAAAACTGCTTAGATTCTTGTTGTATCGATACTCTTTGTAGAACTTTGGGCCATTTAACATATATATGCCTCGGTTTCTCAGCTTTAAAGTGGGGATAATAATAATAATTTTCTCAAAGTTGTTGTGAGGTTCAAATAGATTAGTTTATTATTTGCTACTATAACTGATAATTATAGTTTTTATAATCCTCCATGTAATAAGAAAGATCATTCACACCTAGAAGTTTAAAAGTTGAATCAACAATGATTTAAATTTCCTGGAACTGAAACCAAAATATTTTATTTAATGTTGTGGATGAATCTTCCCAAGAATTTTGCTTGTATATCCAATTTCTCTTAAATATGAATCATTGTACAAGTGAAAATATCAGATCATAATAGAAGAATTTCTTTTCCAGAAGGAACCTTTTTTTATCTTTAATTTTTTAAAATTTATTTTTTAGTTGTAGTTGGACACAATAATACCCTTATTTATTTATTTATTTTTATGTGATACTGAGGATCGAACCTAGGGCCTTGCACGTGCTAGGCAAGTGCTCTACTGCTGAGCCACAACCCCAGCTCTATCTTTAATTTTTTATTGAGCGGATAAAACCCAGCTAAGCAGAATGTGCATTACTTGCTAGATTTGTTTTTGTTTTGTAGATAAGTTTCTTCATTTCATGTTTGAACTACATAATTTAGAATGTAGTTTATTTTTTACTGTAATATTTAGTTCTTTTTTATGCTCTATTTCAATCACTGCTGTAATATATTTATTTCTTGTCTCTAGGAACTAAGTAGAATTTCCTGTTATTTCTTCTCCCTTTGTAATTTATACTTGACTGGAAAGCGCATTACGTTTTTTTCTTGTGTGAGATTTATGTCATGGTGGTTTACTTGTGAATCTGCTAGACTTTATTTACATTTCTGAAGTCTAGAACGGTATAGTACCTATTTGTTTCCGAATTTGACAGATTATCACATCATGTTGGTTCAAAATTTCTCATTTAGAACAAGATATGTTTGAAAAAAATCATGATTAAGGAGAAAAGCTTTTGTGAGTTTTGTATGCTTATGTATAGTTTATAGTTTATTGCATTTATTGTTGAGTTTTATAAATAAAATTTCCTAAGTTGCAAATATGTATCTTACTCATGACTCCCAGGATGGTGCAGCAGGGTGCAGTGGACCCCCGCCAATATGCCGACAAGCCCAGACCAAGCTAGAAGTGGCCTTGTACATGTTTCTGTGGAGTCCTGACACTGAAGCTGTTCTGGTTGCCATGTCCTGTTTCCGCCACCTCTGTGAGGAAGCAGATATCCGTTGTGGGGTGGATGAAGTATCAGTGCACAACTTCTTGCCAAACTATAATACATTCATGGAGTTTGCTTCTGTCAGCAATATGATGTCAACAGGTAAATATATGCATGTTTTCACTCAGTCTGCTTTGAATTGCATCACATCTGATTGTGTTAAGAATGTAAGTGTATATTTAATATTACACTTTGCAGGTTTACAGGGCTCATTTAGATATCTCAGTTGAAATTTTCTGAACAAGGCAGGATGAAATCAGTAATATTTGAAATAAATTATTGGTCTCGATGACTCTGCCTACATTGTATGCAGTGAGGTTTTAAGTAAATAACCATGTATTTGAGTAAATCATAGGTAAAGGAATTGCTTTTTTATGCCGTGGATATTGTAGAGTTCAAGATAAATACCTTCATGTGAGATGGGTGAAAAACAATTTTCAGCTTCATCAAATTTGAAGTTTTCATTTTGTTTTTCTTCTTGCTATTTTGGATAGGCTTGTCAAGTTCGGCACTGGCAAGCAGGGCAATAACTTGATGTGCTGTTGTCTTTGTTTAGGAAGAGCAGCACTTCAGAAAAGAGTGATGGCATTGCTAAGGCGCATTGAGCATCCCACTGCAGGAAACACTGAGGTATGCTCTTAGCAATAGAGACATCCCTTCTTGGCTCTCACCTTCAAATTTTTTTTTTTAATATTTTTTTTTAGTTGCAGATGAACACAATACCTTTATTTTATTTATTTATTTTCATGTGGTTCTGAGAATCGAACCCAGTGCCTCACACATGCTAGGCAAGTGCTCTACCTCTGAGCCAAAATTCCAGCCCCCTCACCTTCAATTTTAAAGCCTCCTGTTGTGGGTATGATCACGAATAGCTTTTAAAGCAAATATGAGAAATGTGCATATTACAAATAGGGTACTATATTTGTAATATGTCCAAATTTGAAGTTTGAAGCCTGGCAGGCACTGATGGATTTTTAGCTTTTGGCTTAAAGTTGCTTTCATGTGATAATTGGTTTCATTTTAGGCTTGGGAAGATACACATGCAAAATGGGAACAAGCTACAAAACTAATCCTTAACTATCCAAAAGCAAAAATGGAAGATGGTCAGGTGGGTTTGTAAAATCAATTTGTGTTTATTAATTGATTTGCTAAACATATGTGCTTCACTTCAGTAATCTTTTGTGAGTTACTCTTATTATAAATAATTTATAGTTGTTTTAAGACTAGTTATGGTTCATCTAGATCTGACTGTCTAATATGGAATAAATAGCCACTAACTGTTTATGGCTGTTTAAATTAAAAATTAAATACAATTAAATTCATTTCTTCAGTCACATAGTAGACACTCTTCAAGTACTGCATGGCCAATGTGGCAATTATTTACTATATGGACAGTAGAGATATAAAATGTTTCCATCATTTCAGAAATATTGGATGTGCTGCTGAAGACTACTTAGGGTATAGACCATATCTTTATCCTCTTTTTTGCTCTTTTTCCCTCCTTCAAGTTATCTCACAGAATTTTCAGAAAAGGGGTAACGAAGGAAAATAAATTAAAATTGAAACAATTCATTTTGCTATTTTGTTAGGTGTTCTGATTAAGGATTCCAATGGACAGGTTAAATGAAATTTAAAAATTTGGACCTTTTTTATCAGTTATTATCAATTATTTTATTATCTGTAAACCAAGAAATTATAATTGTTATTGTGTATATTTGATTTATGTCATCCATATTGCTTTCAATATTAGATGTTTGAAAGCGTTATTTGTATTTATGTATATTTATATAACTCGTTGCTGTCGTTAAAGGGTGTTTTTCTACCATGTGTAATTAGAACAAGAACAAAGTTTTGTTTTTGTCAAGTAAAATTATATACTTAATAACATTATTTTGAGAGGGTATGTAGCTTTAACGTGAAGGCCTTTTTGGGTGTTTAATTGATATATAATTCATGTATATAATTCACTGACAAAGTGTCCTATTCAGTGACTGTTTTTATTGTATTCACAGTTGTGTTAAAATCATGCAGTCAATTTTAGATTATTTTCATCATCTCAAAAAAAAAAACCCCTCTATATCTGCCTCTTGCCCCCTACTTTCTTGCCTTTCTGTCCCTGCCTTTCTAGCCCTAGGCAACCACTGATCTGTTTTCTGTCTCTGTAGATTTTCTTCTTTGGGACATTTCCTATAAATGGAATCATAGAGTATGAGGGCTTCTGTAACTTGCTTATTTCTCTTAGCATAATGTTTTCAAGGTTCATCGACATAAAAGTTTTGTTAAAAGAAATCTGATATTCTGGATTGATTTGTTAGTCTAGCTGTGACAAAAATACATCAGTGGTTCTTTGGAAATGTGTATGGTAATTTCAAGTTATGCTTTTTAAAATGTAAAAATATGTACTTTTATACTGGGAGAAATAATTAAGGGTAATTTATCAAATTTTAGTCAATTTAGGTTGAATTCATACTTTTCACAAAAAATTTTGTTTAGGCTGCTGAAAGCCTTCATAAGACCATTGTTAAGAGACGAATGTCCCATGTGAGTGGAGGAGGATCCATAGATTTATCTGATACAGACTCCCTACAGGAATGGATCAACATGACTGGCTTCCTTTGTGCTCTTGGGGGAGTGTGTCTGCAGCAGAGAAGCAATTCTGGCCTGGCAACCTATAGCCCACCCATGGGCCCAGTCAGTGAACGTAAAGGTTCCATGATTTCAGTGATGTCTTCAGAGGGAAACACAGATACACCTGTCAGCAAATTTATGGATCGGCTGCTATCCTTAATGGTGTGTAATCATGAGAAAGTGGGACTTCAGATACGGACCAATGTTAAAGATCTAGTGGGTTTGGAATTGAGTCCTGCTCTTTATCCAATGCTATTTAACAAATTGAAGAATACCATCAGCAAGTTTTTTGACTCCCAAGGACAGGTAAAGTATTCTCTTTACCCTCTTTATTTTTTACCCTCCTATGAATGAAGGCTTTTTCTTTCCTATTGTTTATATAAGGTACTGGCATGAATATTCATTGCCAGTTTTTAAAAATAGGCAAAATATTCCAGGTGCAGTGGTATACTTCTGTAATCCCAGCAATTTGGGAGGCTGATTTGGGAGAATCCCAAGTAGGGGGACAGTGTGGTTAGTGAGATCCTGTCTCAAAAAAAATTTTTTTTTTTTTTAAAGGGCTGGGTTGTAGCTCAAGTGGTAGAGCACTCCTGGGTTCAATCCCTAGCACTGCCAAATAAGTCAATAAATAAATGACTAAAAATAGATTACAAAAAGAAGAGTCATTAAGCTTAGGGATCTATTTGCTTCTTAGGAACTGTAGCATATAAGTTTGCCTGGAGGTTTGAATGTCTGTGTATTTATCTGAGCATATACCTGTGTGTCTTATTTCTGTGTGTATATGATGTTTAAATCAGTTTCATCTTTCTATGGTCTATTTTCAGTATATTGATAGGAAATCACTGATGTATTTTTTTATAGGTTTTATTGACTGATACCAATACTCAATTTGTAGAGCAAACTATAGCTATAATGAAGAATTTACTAGATAATCATACTGAAGGTAGCTCTGAACATTTGGGACAAGCTAGCATTGAAACAATGATGTTAAATCTAGTCAGGTAAGCATTCTGCTACTGCTACTTTAAAAGGTAAGAAAAACTCCTTATGCGTTGATACTGATAGTTATTAATGAAATAATTTGCCACTCTTTTCTTTATTGCACCCCAATTTGGGTGCACTGATAACATAACCAGAAATTGTGTATGTTCTCTCCTAAATAAAATAAAATGACAGTCATATTTAAAGTTACATTTAACCACTTTACTACAGATTAAGGCATCTAAAATATCTCTTGTTTGTATCTGATAATTTTTAAAACATTTCTATGTCTAAATAGGTATGTTCGTGTGCTTGGGAATATGGTCCACGCAATTCAAATAAAAACGAAACTGTGTCAGTTAGTTGAAGTAATGATGGCAAGGAGAGATGACCTCTCATTTTGTCAAGAGATGAAATTTAGGTGAGTTATCAAAAGAACAAAACTGGGGTCCTGAAAATATTATATTAAATGGAGTACAGAAAAAAAAGTAGGTACTTGGTTATTTCCGCAAGAGGGGAAATGGAAAAGGAGCACTTTGTGTTTGTTTTTCCCTGAATAGCTTTTCAGACTTCTCAAAGCTTTGTGCCTGTGAAAGTTCTTCCCTTTTCTCTACTTGCATTAAGAATTTGATTCTGTTTCCAAACTGTTATCATACCAAAGGGCCATCACCGAGTACCAATATGTAAGTTGCTCGTGTTTATGCCTATCTGATTTTATATGTGACAGCAATACCTATTTTATAAAGTTGTCATGTCACCTGGGTTATTTAACTGTTTGTACTGTTAAAAAAATCTTATGTGTAAAGGTGTGTGTGATTTTTTTAAAAGTTGCTATTTTCCTTTTCTTCTCCATTTTATAGGAATAAGATGGTAGAATACCTGACAGACTGGGTTATGGGAACATCAAACCAAGCAGCAGATGATGATGTAAAATGTCTTACAAGGTACAGAAAAAAAAAAAAAAAGATAAAATGACTAGGTATTTACAGGATTTACTCTAGGTATTAAAACTACTCTAGTATAGCTATCACACATATTTCATGTATATTTAAGTTGTTTTTTAGATATCAAGTTTTTGCATTTGAAATATATAAAGATATGAATGTGTTTATTTATTTTTTTAACTGAATGAGTTAGTAAAAGATTTTATGTTTGGAAAGTTAATGTTGTCAGTTTAGAAAGAATAGTCCAGTTATTGGGAAAGTA